TCCGTCAGAATTTGCTTTGGATTTGATATAGGAAACCATGGAGAAGAGTAAGCTTCTTTTGAATCTTACAATTGATTGAGTTTAGGTCAATTTAACCTAGATCTCTTTGTTTTAGGTTCAGTTGCGTTCGAATTTTTATTAGTTCACTTCTAAATCTCTGATTTGCTTTCGTTAGAATTTGTTGACGTTTTATTACTAGTTTGGTTTCTTGGTGTGGTTGGGAAGTTTATTTCGATTGATACATAGGAAACTAAGATTCGCTTTGTTGAAAAAATTGCAGAATCTCAGCGTAAGAAGGCCTCGATGGATTTGTTTGATAGTGACGATGATACAAGTAGTTTCTGCATGGATGAAGTTCAGGTTCACAAAGATGTTATGTTGGATCAATCCCTTGATGCTCTCTATGAGAAAAGGAGTTCAACGAGAGAGCAAGCTTTGGCTTCAATTATTGACGCATTTAACAGCGACCTGCAGCATGACTTTGTAGAAAAGAACTTTGCCACTTTATTGCATCTGTGTTTACACTGTACCAAGAAAGGGTCCAGTAAGGAGAGTTCATTAGCATCACATGTTATTGGGTTGCTAGCATTGACTGTTGGACTCGGAGATCAAGCACAAGAGATTCTGGAAGAATCCGTCACTCCACTTTCTCAGGCCCTTAAATCTGGTCGTGAAGCCTTGAAGATAACTTCGATTCTTGAGTGTTTAGCAATCATAACCTTTGTTGGTGGGACCAATGCAGAGCAAACCGAGAGATCTATGCAAATAATATGGCAAATGATTCACCCCAAGCTAGGTTCTAATGTTGTTGCAACAAAACCTTTATCTGCTGTAATAACTAGTGTTGTCGCTTCCTGGGCGTTTCTGCTCACAACAGTTGATGGATGGACTCTAGGTCCTAAAATTTGGCTAGAGACTGTAACTTGTCTCTCCTCACTGTTGGAAAAGGATGACCGGTCTGTACGTATAGCTGCTGGTGAAGCGCTTGCTCTTATATTTGAGTTGGGAACTCTAGAGAAGTTTGCTGCCCAAGCCAAAGGGTGTGCTTATGGATCAGTGAAAGAAGGAAGTGTGTCTCAGGAGGCATTGATAAACATGCATGGCTTGAAAGCTAAAGTCACTAATCAAGCTAGAGACCTCTCTGTTGAGGCAGGTGGTAAAGGTTCAGCTAAGAAAGATCTCAACGCCCAACGAAATTTGTTCAGAGATCTTGTTGTATTTCTTGAAGGTGGATACGCACCTGAAACATCTACAAAGGTCGGAGGGAACACTTTACAGACAAGAACGTGGTATCAGATGATACAGTTCAATTTTTTGAAGCATTTCCTTGGGGGTGGTTTAATCAAGCATATGCAGGAGAATGAATTCCTTCATGATGTATTTAGTTTCACTCCAAAGAAGATTGGTGCCACTATTATGTCTAGTGACGAAAAGAGGTTTCTTAAATCACCTAACTCAGCTCTAAACAAAGCAAGGACGCGATTCATGAACGAACTGAGGATGTTAACTATGATTGCGGAATCTGAACGTTGGGCATTATGCAGCGATGGTGGAGAATGAATGATGGATTTAGAAGTGATTTTGAAGCTCTGCATTAAAACTTGTTGATCATAGTGTCACTTTTGCTGTTTCATCTTTTGATTAGATTTTTGTCTTAAGTCTCTTGCCCTATTACAACAATTTTGTCGACTGTATTTCTATGATACAACAGTTGTTGCTCTTAGTCATTTAATAAGGAAAAATACTAATAAACAAATCTACTATAGAAATACCTGAGGGTAATGAGAGTAAAAAAATTGAATAGCGTAAATTAAATTAAACCTGGATTTTGTATAAATCAAATATGAAAACCTTTTAAAGTTCTCATAAACTGTTTGCACAAATTAAAAAAGTGCTAATAAACCAATTAAGTACGCACACTTTAACACAAAGAATCGTGTTCTTGGCATTTTTGAGATGCTAGTAAATAGGCATACACAACTAATAAGTAATAACCTAAATGAGTAAACAAGAGCCAGCCACCGTAGCTACTGAATATGTTTCTTCACCACTGCAGATTTAATCTCACCAGATGGAACCTGGAAGTCTTGGAAACATTGGCCAATCTTCTTGTTGTTGTCTTATTATGGTTCGAAGTGGAACACTGAGCCTTTGTGTGATAAAAGGATGGTTCAAGAGCTCAGACACCGTAGCCCTTATAAGATACTTCAATCCCATGGCGCCCTTGTATGATGGATGTAGTCCATGGCACTGCCTCAAAAAGTCTATAGCCACCGGTGAGATATCTTTAAACAACCTCCACTCATAATAATCTTAAAATAGTTTTTGCTCGGGCTCACCTCCAAACATCTCGTAAACCACACACCCTAGAGACCATATATCAAGAGCCGGATCAATGAGTCCGTTTGGCCCAAGAGACTCCGGTGGCATGTAATGAGGCGTACCAGGAAACATAAAGCCACATGGAAGCGCTAACTGGAATTAGGCTCTTTGGAAAAACCGAAATCAGCAAGCTTGAGATCGAATGGCTCTCCAAAAGTGGTGGAGTGGAAGAGGATTATATTGCCTGGCTTGAGGTCGCAGTGAACGTAGCCTTTAGCGTGACGAGCCTCCAGTCCTTGTAGGATCATACGAGCTGCGCGTTGGATCATATATTCATTCATGAATTAAATCAACAATGAAGAAACCTATATAGAATCTAGAGCTACATAGAGATAGATTAAGTATCACACACAAAGGAAAAGACAAACAATACAATAACAGAGATTGTATTTGTGAAGCATTGAAGCTTGTTAGATAAACTAAGACAATGTTTGCAAAAGCATTTAATGTAAAAGAGAATGAAAAAAAATAGAAATTATGAGTAGTCTTAAGCAAATGGTAAAGCTTTACAATCTAATAGAATGGAGGCAAAAAAAATACACACTGAAGTGAAAAGAAATAGAGTTGAATACATCATCTTAAAATCGAAAACATGTTTGACCATGTTGTAATATTTCAATGCGCAACCACAACTTTCATCATGCGTTATGTTTTCCAAGCTACAATCCACTCACTTTGGCGAGAGAGAAATGGCAGAAGACATGGTGTCTTAATTAAGTGGATCGACCGCACCATAAGGAACAGATTCAGCACAATGAAGGAAGAAGGAGTTAGGAAATTCGAAAATGGCCTGCAAACCTGGTTTGCAACAAGAAGAGACTAGTGACAACATTTTTCTTTGATTGTTTTATTTTAAAAGGAAAAAAACGATAAAAACACTGCTCTGTAAAAAGTATTTTTTTTTTCTTTGAATATAATTTCACATTTTATTCAAAAAAAAAAAAAAATCAATGCACATAACAAAATGGATCGTAAGTTTTGTTGGTGTCTGAATCTTTTGGTTTTTGCTCTGTTTTGAGCTTGATATTGGAACTATTTCAGATGGCAAAAAAAAAGGTTTTCGATTTGAGCATGCTATAGAATCTTCTTTTGGCCACTAATAAGAGAGTTAGAGATATTAATGTTCAATTTTTATTTTTGATTTGTTCTAAAAAGAAATTGTTATTTTTTTATTGTACGTGCTAAATGTTTTATTTTAACTGTAAAATTTTTTTTTTAAAAAAAACTTAACATCCAAAAACAAAAACAAAACAGTCTTGATTTATTTAAAAGATAAACCAAAATAAAATTTTGAAACAGTCTAACAAATATGGTTTATTACACACTTTTCCTTTTGACTGCCTAGAATATATATTTGTTTTATCTTTTGGAACACCTAAATTTTATATGGAGTTAATTTTTTTATCGATATTCTTACGGATAATATGATTATTAGACAGCCAAGAAAAAAAAAAAAGTAATATTTTTTTGTCAACAGAAAACCAAAAACAGTAGTTATAACCAAGAATCTAATACACGGTTATAAAAGAAAAGGAAAAATACAAATAAACAAATCTACTATAGAATACCTAAATGAAGAGGATAATGAAAAAAAAAAAATATATTATATTAAAACAGAAACACTTTTAGTATTTGTTTCCAAACACTCCCAAAGTTGTTTTTTAAAAAATATTTGTTATATTTATATATATAAATTTAATTTCGAAAATTTGATATTCATTTAGATAGTTAAAAATTTCCTTATATATAGGTTATATCTATAGTCTTCCTTAAATATAGGTTAGATTTAATTTAACATTTGAAACTTATATAAAATTTTCAGAATAACACATATGATTAACAAATATCTTATTATATTTTTTGAATTATATTCTATCAGATTAAAATTATATATATTAAAAATAAATAAATATTAATATTATATAATAATTTGATGGGACACGTTAAATTTTTTTATAATTATGGTTTTATGCGGGTTAGGTATCAAAGCATGCAAGATATTAGGAGAAAATTATTTCAAAGTTAGTTAATATTTATATTATAAAGTAATATAAACAGACGGGTTAGAATTATGGTTTCGTAATCATAGTCTTTTTCGGATTAATAAAATGAGCGAGTTAGAAATATATTTTTATAGTAACGGTCACTTTTTTATTAATAAAATAAATAAGTTAAAATTATGTTTTTATAATACTGAAAAAAATAAAAAATAAAAATTATATCTAAAAAAAATTTTATATATCACTTATTAAAATATTATATTTATAAAGAAAACATAAATTAGATTAAAAATTTTGATTAAAACATGCACGAAGTAAAATCTAGTGAATAAGTAAAACTAAAGTAAACTTGGATTTTGTATACATTAAATATGCAAACCTTTTAGAGTTCTGATAAACTGTACGTTTGCACACAAAAAGGGGCAAATACACCAGTTAAGTAAGTAACTGATAACCTAATTAAGTTGCAAATACACCACTTTAATACATAAAGAATCGTGTTCTTGGCATTCTTGCGAGGCAAGTAATGAAACATACGCAACTGATAACCTAATTAAGTAAACAAGATACAGCCACCGTAGCTACTAAAGATGTTTATTCACCACCGTAGATTTAATCTCACCAGATGGAACCTGGAAGTCTTGGAATCATCGGCCAATCTTCTTGTTGTTGTCTTATTATGGTTGGCAGTGGAACACTGAGCTTTTGTGTAATAAAAGGATGGTTCAAGAGCTCAGACGCCGTAGCCCTTATCGGATACTTTAATCCCATGATGCCCTTGTATGATGGATGTAGTCCATGGCACTGCCGCAAAAAGTCTTTAGCTACCGGAGAGATTTCTTCAAACAACCTCCACTCATAATAATTTTCAAATAGTTCTTGCTCGGGTTCACCACCAAACATCTCGTAAACTACACACCCTAGAGACCATATATCAAGAGCCGGATCGATGAGTCCGTTTGGCCCAAGAGACTCCCGTGGCATGTAATGAGGCGTACCAGGAAACATAGAGCCACATGGATGCGCATAACTGGAATTAGGCTCTTTGGATAAACCGAAATCAGCAAGCTTGAGATCAAATGGCTCTCCAAAAGTGGTGGAGTGGAAGAGGAGTATATTGCCTGGCTTGAGGTCGCAGTGAACGTAGCCTTTAGCGTGAAGAGCCTCGAGTCCTTGTAGGATCATACCAGCTGCGCGTTGGATCATATATTCAGGTAATGGTTTCCCAGGAAACTCCGAGATCATCTTGTGGAGAGTTTGTTTGTTGGCGTATTCCATGTAGATGTAACAATATCTTGTGTTGTTCTCCAAGTGAACAAAAGTGCTTTTAGCTTGCACGATGCAAGGATGGTTGTGGAAACGTAGCATGATGTCGAGTTCCTTCTCAAGATTACTGAAGAGATTTATCGAACATGTCTTCTTTGCGTAGGCTCGTAGTTGAGGATCACCTACGAGGGTTACAGAGCCGAAGCTCCCTCGGCCAAGAACGCATGCTTGTGTCAATGAAGATTCGTCCACAAGCCAAGGATCTCTGTTTTCACAAATCTGCTCCATCACAGTGAAAAGTAGCGTAATCCGAGGATATCTTTAGGTATTGTTACGTTTTGTTATCAAATAATATAATCTGATCGCTTACAGTACTAGTTTATATAATATAGTTCAACAAGTCGGTGGTGGTTACAATTTCCAATTTGAAAGTAGGAAACTAGAATATTTATACGTTAATCATTATATTTTATCTGCGTAATATCTAAAACAAATTTGGCTGAATTTATTTTCTTAAAATTACACATCTCAAATTAGGAAAATAAATTTCCCAAAAAAAAATTAGGAAAATGATTGAAATAAAGCATAATTCAATATCACTTAATGTTTTTCATTGGTTCTCATGATCCTTTGCCCCGAATCTGCTTGGTGCTCATTCATTGTGTTTGTTAAACCATTAAACCTAGTTAATCTTTCCATTCTGTAATATTTCGGTGCATTCCTATCAAAGCTGACCAGATCAGCTGATAGGATTTATCAAAAAAATATATGAGTGATTTGGTTTCAACAAGTCGGTGGTGATTACACTTCACAATTTGAAAATTGGAAACTAGGATATTTGCACGTTAACCACTATTTTCTTCCACGAAATCTTTTTTTAATAAAATTAGACATCTCAACTAGAAAAATAATGTATTCATTCATGAATTAAATCAACATTGGAGTAACTATATGGATTCCAGAGCTACATAAAGACGGATTAAATATCACATACAAAGTAAAAGACAAACAATACAATCACAGAGATTATATTTGTGAAGCATTGGAGCTTGTTAGATAATCTAAGATGTTTGCAAAAGCATTTAATGTAAAAGAGAATAAAAAAAATACAAGTTATGAGTAATAGTCTCAAGCAAATGGTAAAGCTTTATAATCTAATCGAATGGAGGCTAAAAAAAACAGATTGAAGTGAAAAGCAATAGAGTTGAATAAAGAATCTTAAAACAAAAACACGTTTGACCATGTTGTAATATTTCAATGCACTTAACAAAATGGATTGTAAGTTTTTTTGGTGTTTGAACCTTTGATTTTTGCTCTGATTTGAGCTTGATATTGGAACTTTTTCAGATGGCAAAAAAAAGGGTTTCGATTTTTTGAGCATGCTATAGAATCTTCCTTTGGCCACTGATAAGAAAGCTAGAGATATTAATGTTCAATTTTTATTTTTTCTTTGTTCTAAAAAGAAATTGTTATTTTTCTTTTATTGTACCTGCTAATTGTTTTATTTTAAAACATAACATCCAAAAAGAAAAGAAAAAATCAGTTTTGATTTATATTTTATATAAATCAAAACAAACTTTGAAACAGTCTAACAGATATGGTTTATTACACACTTTTCCTTTTGACTGCCTAGAATATATTTGTTTTATCTTTTGAAACACCTGAATTTTCTATGCAGTTATTATTTTTATTGATATTCGTACAAATAATATTATTATTGGACAGTCAAGAACAAAAAAACATTAATATTTTATTGCAACAGAAAACCAAAAAGTATAACCAAGAATCTAATACACGGGTATAAAAGAAAAGGAAAAATACAAATAAACAAATCTACTATATATAGAATACCTAAATGAAGAGGGTGATGAAAAATGAATAGGGTAAAACTAAAGTAAACTTGGATTTTGTATTCTTTAAATATGCAAACCTTTTAGAGTTCTGATCAACTGTTTGCACACAAAAAGGGGTAAATAAACCAGTTAAGTAAGCACACTATAACACATAAAGAATTGTCTGTTCTTGGCATTTTTGCAATGCAAGTAATGAAACATACGCAACTGAAAATCTAATTAAGTAAACAAGATACAGTCACCGTAGCTACTAAAAATGTTTCTTCACCACCGAAGATTTAATCTCACCAGATGGAACCTGGAAGTCTTGGAATCGGCCAATCTTCTTGTTGTTGTCTTATTATGGTTGGCAGTGGAACACTGAGCTTTTGTGTAATAAAAGGATGGTTCAAAAGCTCAGACGCCGTAGCCCTTATCGGATACTTCAATCCTGTGGTGCCCTTGTATGATGGATGTAGTCCATGGCACTGCCTCAAAAAGTATTTAGCCACCGGAGAGATATCTTCAAACAACCTCCACTCGTAATAATCTTCAAATAGTTGTTGCTCGATCTGGTTCACCTCCAAACATCTCGTAAACCACACACCCTAGAGACCATATGTCAAGAGCCGGATCGATCAGTCCGTTTGGCCCAAGAGATTCCGGTGGCATGTAGTGAGGCGTGCCAGGAAACATGGAGCCACATGGCAGGGCGTAACTAGAATTAGGCTCCTTAGATAAACCGAAATCAGCAAGCTAAAAATCGAACGGCTCTCCAAAAGTGGTGGAGTGGAAGAGGATTATATTGCCTGGCTTGAGGTCGCAGTGAACGTAGTCTTTAGCGTGAAGAGCCTCGAGTCCTTGTAAGATCATACGAGCTTCACGTTGGATCATATATTCAGGTAATGGTTTCCCACGAAACTCGGAGATCATCTTGTGGAGAGTACGTTTGTTGGCGTATTCCATATAGATGTAACAATTTCTTGTGTTGTTCTCCAAGTGAACAAAAGGGCTTTTAGCTTGCACGATGCAAGGATGGCTGTGGAAACGTAACATGATGTCGAGTTCTTTCTCAAGATTACTGAAGAGGTTTATCGGACATGTCTTCTTTGCGTAGGCTCGTAATTGAGGATCGCCTATGAGAGTTACAGATCCGAAGCTCCCTCGGCCGAGAACGCAGGCTTGCCTCAATGAAGAATCGTCCACAATCCAAGGATCTCTGCTTTCACAAATCTGCTCCATCACGGTGAAAAGTGGCGAATCCAAGAATCTCTTAGGTATTGTTTCGTTCTATTGTCAAATAATATATATCCGAGTGATTGTTGTCATCAAGTCGGTGGTGGTAATAACACTTCACAATTTGAAAATTGGAAACTATGATATTTTCACGTTAATCACTATTTTCTTCCACAAAATATCCAAAACAAATTCCGTTGAAATCTATTTTCTTTTTTTTTTAAAATAAATAAATTACACATCTCAACTAGGAAAAGGATTGAAGCCGAAGTAAGGAGCAAAGCATAATTTTCTCTATTTTCTTCTCTTAAATTCTTAATGGAAAAGTAAAAGAAAACTAGACGTCTAATTCAGGACTCAGTAAACTGATTTTTTTAGAGTTTTTAACCATAATTAACTCACTAGAGACCAAAGCAGAAGTCATGAGAATCGCAGTAACACAAGTTAAGAGTTTGGATTACGTTCTGTGGAGATTCAACTGAACTATATACATTACTCCAGGACCAACCTTATCACCGGAATAGCTACAAGTGCATCCATGAGAACGTAACTTAAATGAATTACCTTAATATCTGCCACCCATAGAGTTTAGAAATTCAAGTGTAAGTTGTATGATATTTTAAATGAATTATCCCTTCAAATTTTAGTTTTGCACTCATTCATACTTTCAATTTTGTATAGCCCTAAGTAAGCCCCAAGAGTATATATCTAGACCTAGCTACGGTGGCTGTATCTTGTTTACTTAATTAGGTTATTAGTTACTTTTTGTTTCTTTAGTTGCATCGCAAGAATGCCCAATACACGATTCTTTATGTTTAAAGTGTGTGTGCTTAATTGGTTTATTATTTTTGTGTAAACAGTTTATCAGAAGTTCAGAACTCTACAAGTTTTTCATATTTAATGTATACAAAATCCAAAGTTTACGTTATTTTACCCTATTCATTTTTTTTTCTTATTACACTCTTCATTTAGGTTTTTCTATAGTAGATTTTTTTTTCCTTTTTTTGTAATAGATTCTTGGTTATAATTACTGTTTGGTGTTTCTGTTGACAAAAAAATATTGCTGACTGTTTTTTTTTTGGCTGTCCAATTATATTATTTTTAAAATTTTAAATTTGAATTTAACTGCATAAATTCACGTGTTTTAAAGATAAATTATTCTAGGCAGTCAAAAAAGAAAAATTTGTAATAAAGCAAATCTGTTTCAATTTTTTTTACTTCTGTTTAAATAAGTAAAAACTGATTTTCTTTCTTTTTGGATGTAAAGTCATAAAATTAAACAAAGTATAATTAGGTTATCAGTTGCGTATAGTATGTTTGTTTACTTGCATCGCAAGAATGCCATGAATACGATTCTACATGTTTTAAAGTGTATTAATTGTTTTATTAGCTCTTTTTGTTCAAACAGTTATCATTATACAAAATCCAAGTTTACTTTATTTTATCCTATTCATTTTTTTCATTGCCATCTTCATTTAGGTTTTTCTGAAGTATTTTGTCTTTTTCCCCCTTTTTTTTGTAATAGATTCTTGAATATAACCTGTTTACTGTTTGGTTTCTGTTGACAAAAAAAAAAAATATAACGGATATGATTGGGTTTTGGCTGTCCAATAATATATTCTTATTCGAAAGACACCCATACATGACACGAGCTAGCTAGTTCAAAGCTAAGAACTCAGCATAAAGTACAGCGTCAAAAAAAAAAAAAAAAAAGAACCCAGCATAAATGTCCTCCTCAAACTTATCGACACACTTAGCCAGCAATAGCTCTCCTATGCTGATCTGGTGGGAGCAAATAGTTCACTAACATACGTGAAAGAACCAGGCTTTAAGGTGGATTGGTTAGAGAGGAATCTGGAGAAAGTGAAGGAAAAGAAGAAGGAAGAGCAGAATCGTGAGACTCGGATGCAAGAATTAAATGAAAAAAGTGAAGAACTTTTAAGCATAAGAGTTCAGACATAGAAGATCTGCTAGATAAAGAGAAGGAAGAACTGAAGGACTTGAAGCATAAGTGTTCAGACAAAGAAGCTTTGCTGGAGAAAGAGAAGGAAGTACTGAAGAACTTGAAGCAGAAGTGCTTAGACATGGAAGCTCAGCCTGGAGAAAGATAAGGCAAAGGTTGAATGATGTTGTCTGATGTATTACTATTGGGCTGGTTTGGCACTCTGGCTAGGTTTGTTCTGGTATTGTATGTATGCTCGTTTGAGACTACATTTAAAAGTTAGTATCTCTACGTAGAAGCTAGAAAGACTTTTGTTGGGATTGGAAATGGTTTGCAAAGAACTAATCTTTTGGTTAAGAAGACTCGATAGGATTTTGTAAAGCTCGCAGCTGTAGTGAAAAGGTAAAAAAAAATTAGATGTCTTATTTGACATATCATGGTTTTTATGGTTTTTAACCATGGTATAAGACTTATTTATAGAGTCTTTTTAGTGTCTTTCAAGTCTTTTGGAATCTTTTCAGGTCATAGGTACGTTTGGAGCTTAACTGGAGACTTTGGAGCACTTTGGAGTTTAATCAGGATCAAATTCGTCAAGTATGGATTTTGTGCTTTAGTGTCGTTCGACACCATGGAGAGTGACGCTCGACACTTATCAGAAAAATAAGAAAAAAACGATTTTGTTTCCTATTTGAAGAAGGAGTTGGGCCTAAACGTTTCCAAGGAAGCCCAAAACGTGTTTTAGAGATATATAGGATTTTTATTCCCTTTTTATCGAGACCTTAGATTTTTGAGAGAGAGATACTCTGAGTTTTCGGCTTTAGCTATTTTGAGAGCTTGGGAAGACAAGTCTGAACTCTGTTCGTTTAGAGAGAAGATTTTGAACCCCTTTATCTATTTCGATTTAATCTATTGCTTTCTATTCATCATGTTTGTTGTTCCAATAACCATGTCTGAGTAGATCACCTGTAGGTTTAGGGTTAATTAGGGTTTTCTTTGAATGTTTGATTAACTTGCTAGCTAGGGTTCATATCTATTTGTTCTTCATCTTAGGTTGTTCTTAAAGCTAATTCTAGATTGATCACCTAGAACTTAGATCTTAGGTTGCTTAATTGACACAGAAGTGTAATTGAATAACTGGAAAGAACCTAGGTTGAGCAAAGTAGCTATTCGCAAAGGAATTTGGTTTAGATACCTTGTGAACATATCGAACTTGTGCATTAAGGCTGGTTTAAATCTGTAGGATTTGCAAAGAAATTTGAAATTCTAGGATTTTAACTTAGATAATTCTCACAACAGAAGTTGGTTAATTATAGATCTGTGTTTCGAGTTCAAGAACCGTGCTTAATAACTGAACCCTGATTAGTTAAGTTGATCTGAATTCATCGATCTCCTGAAAAACGCCCTAGACCTAATCCTTATCCAATCGAATTTACAAACCGTTTTACTGCTGCTTAATTTGTTTCTGTTGCATTGCTATTTACTTCCTATATTTCTGCTTAGCGTAATTCTATCTCTACAAGGTTTATTGAGTGATCTCTTGTCTCTGTGGTTCGACCCCTAGATACTACAACTGCACATCTGTGCTCTTGCAGAGTAGCTTAGGGATTAAACTTTGAGCAGATCAAGTTTTGGCACCGTTGCCGGGGACTTGATTTCGCCATTAAACCTAGTTTTTGAGTTTCGACTAAGTTTTTCTTCGCCCGACACCTTTCTTTTTATAACCTTATTTACTTATTTCGTTTTCTCTCTTTGTTTTTGGTGCTTCAGGTTTATGCATACTCGTGGAACCAGAAGCAACAAGGACATCCCGCTAGTGAATTTGAGCAACGAGGAGCTAGCTGAGTTAGAGAGAATGAACAGGAAAGCAAAAGATCCGGCAATGATGGAAAACGCCAACGGGCTTGTTCGTGATGATGCTGGAGTCTGGAGAGACCAAAAGGGTCATCAGTGCAATGCGAGAGGCCAAAGGCTTGATGGAGATGGTAGCATCATTCCACCAGCACCTTTACCAGTGGATGTTGTTGACCAGAATCCAGCACTTGCACCGCATGGTAATGCTGTGATTGTTCCAAATCAGAGGAACACTCCAGAAGATCGGAATGTGAGGGAACCTGCACCTGCAGCTGGTTGTGGACGAACACTTGGAGATTACAACAGGCCTGAGCAGTTCAATGCAAATCGGTCTGTGATTCGCGCCCCTGCGTTTCAAAGGAACGATTTTGAGCTGAAACCTGTGTACTACACTCTTGTGGGTCAGCATCCCTTTTATGGCCACTCTCATGAGCACCCTATGGATCACATCGAGAGGTTTGAGGACTTGGTCACCAGCATCAAATACAATGGAGTGTCCAATGATTTCCTCCTCTGCAAGCTGTTTTCTTACTCTCTTGCTGGAGAAGCAGCTAACTGGTTGAAGCAGTTGGAGCCAGGATCACTCACCACTTGGGAAGAGACCAGGAATGCTTTCCTGCACAACTTTTTCGATGAAGCTAGGTCTGAGGAGTTGAGGACAAAAATTTCGACTTTCTCTCAGGAACCAACTGAAACGTTCAAAGCTTCTTGGGTGCGATTCAAATCGTACCAGCGAGACTGCCCCCATCATGGCTTCAGCGATGTGCAGTTGTTGGGTATCTTCTTCAGAGGTATCGACTGGAGGTATCAGATGGCACTTGATGCAGCAAGCAATGGTAACTTCAACACCAGATACCCAGAAGAAGCTGTTGAGCTCATCGAAAACTTGGCATCCAGCAATAGCACCAAGAATGCTGATCTTGAGTGAAAGAAGCAAGCTGGGAACATGAATAGATCGCAGATCGCTGAGGTGAAAGCTAAGCTTGACTCTGTGCACAGCCTTTTGGTAAGTAAGAAGTCTGTCAAATTCGCACAGGAGGTGGAGAGTTTCGAACCTGAGGATGAAGCTGAGGTGGAGGATGTCAACTTCGTACGTGGATCAGAATTTCAGGGTCAGAGGTTTGGTAATCAGCAAGGTAACAGAAGCTACAGTGGGAATTACAGTGGAAACAATCAGAGGAGTACCTTCAAGAGTAATCAGAACTTCTCTGGT